GACTTATTTTGTTTGAATTTATCTAGAATCGTCTAAAATATTTCGTTTAAATATACAGAGTTATTTTTGAAGGTAATTGTTCGGAAAAAATAACAATTATTGATAACACGGTTATACTCCACGTTTAAAGACTTTAAACTCAATAGATTTTACAAGTCAACAATGGTTATGTGGTAAATTTGTAATGCATGCAGCTTGTAAAACAAATACGAAGTATTTTCTGAGATGATAGATTAATCAAAACCAAATTATTATGACCACATTAATTTTTAGGATCCAAATCGTTTCATATAATTTCAAATAATCTCCCTGTTCTTTTTTATCTTCTTATTTATTAGTACTTTGTATATATAACCACAAATACTAAGAAAATGAAAATTTTGTAGAAAGTAACATCTACTTCAACCCAATGTTTTCAATTCTTCATCTACTTTTGATCAATTTCATTCATGTTAAATTTGACCACCAAATTTCTCAAAGTATAATGATAATTTTTATCATAACAAAATATTTATACTTTTTTCTTTCAAAACACAACTACTGATGTAACTTTGTCCTAGTTTCCAAGATTGTATTTTCTAGGCATGTATATTCCAGGAGAATATATTTCAACATGGCTTACTATGCTACTTTCTAACATACTGCTAAGTGTTATATGTGACAGAAAAGAGATGATCGTAGGGTAAATTAAAGCATGCGTCATGTTCAAGTACACTCAAGCAGTAGAATGCTTACAGTATCGATACTACTGATTTTAGCAGCTGATTTTCAAAAGTCTTTCTGTATCGTCAATGGCGAACGGCATTTTAACAATGCCATCTCTAGCATCAAACTTAAATGTAACTCTGATAAACAAAAACAATAACAGGCCATAAGCTCCAGGAATGTAAAGGCCTTATTTTCACAAGAGCACTTTATAGCCATGTTTTCGCTATTGGATCTTGAATGCAATTAGGAGTTGTTGGCTAACAATATGTTTTTACTCAAGTTTAATGTCCAATTAGACTCAAGATATTAAAACAAAATCATTAATGTGATTTCCGCTAAACAGAGTTAGCTTGGAAAATCCACCATTTGTTTCAAGTCATCCCCGATTTCTCATGATTCAAAGTCTTAAAATATTTTGTTATTGCTGATTTGATTTTGAATTCTGCTCTTTGTCAAAAAATGATTCAATTTCACAAAACACCTAGCGTTTAATTTATTGAAGAGAAAAGATTAAAAACTGTAATTTTTTTTTTTTTATTATTTTTTTTTTATCTAATAGCTGCAATATAGAACCCAAAAAATTAGCTATATACTCCCTCTTTTTTTTTTTTTTATGCATCAGTTTGACCGGCATATTTGGCGAGACGCAACTTTGACCATTAATATCTTTAATTATTTATTAGTAAAAATTGTAACAAAATTATATTACGAAACTAGACATTATGACTAATCTAATGATATATTATATAATAACATTTATTTACTTTATAGAGGTGAAAAAATTAAGTCAACTATGGAATGTGAATAGTGCAAAAATCAAAGTGATGCATTTAAAAAATAAAAAAAAAAGAGGGAGTATATTGTTTATAAGCCGTGTGATTTCAGCAGGTAATTCCTACACCCTATTATAAGTAGTCCATGTGAAATTAGTCATAACTTAATCCATCTAAAACATAGCCGCAAAGAAAGACCAAGCTATGTTAACCAATATACCTTATATTATGTACAGCTAAGAGAGAATAATGCCTTAATTAAATATTACAAAGAATAAAAGATAGCAACCAAAATATATACAGTAGCTAAAATAAGAGCGTATGTATGAGATAACATCATATGAGATATATAGTAGCTAAAATAGGAGAGTATTTGTATGAGATAGTAGATAATATATCATTCAGAGCAGGCTGCATCAGTGTTCAGTTTATGAATACCGATCAAGGGAGGCTGTCACTTGTGATTAGCCTGCGGTTCATTCATAACAACGTAGCAAGGGCAAACCGCTCTACCGATAACAATCTCAACATGAATCTCTCGCTTATCAAAATACCTGGCATTCCATACTCCAAAACAGTACATAACAATCTCACCCTAGCGCAAGTTGTTCTGAGAAGTTGCTAACCTTTGATCTAAGAGGTGAGTAAGTACCAAAAGGCATGAAGTAGTGTTTACACCATTTCACCACAAACAGGACAAATATCATCAACCTTTTGTTTTAAATAACATACTCATACTTCCTGACAAAAAACTAGAACTTAGTTAGAACCAAAAACTGATCACAAGACGGGGACAATGACATCGACTATAACACTTGGAAATAAAATACAGAGTCCGTTGTTAAATGCACCATCAACCTTTCCTGCCGCGTCTTGAGCCAAGAAAAAAAGTTTTCCATTTCCCCATCTCCTCCGGACTATACTTCGACGAAATCGATACCCATATCCAATCAAAACCAGACAATGGGCTTCGGTTGCATCGTCTTCATTCACGAATCTCTGATATCGCTCATACCCATTCATTGAATGAATTTCTTCATCATTCATGGCATGGTAATGGGTCAATTGATTAAATTATTTTTAATAAAAAAAATTCTTCTTGAAAAAGATAATAAATAATGGTTTGTTTAAGATTGAATTATTTAATATGAAAATTTTAAAAATACACATAATTTCATATATCACGTAATTTGTTAATTTATATATATAAAGTAGGCATTTTTGGGGAACATTCGGAGCGCCACATAAGAAATATACTTATTTCGACCAATAAGGCAAAAGATTTGTATTTTATTTTTGAATTAAAAAATTATGTCGCCACCTAGATAAAAGTAACGAATTAAATTTGATATATCTAAAATTTTAATGCCACGTAGATTATAATCCACGAATTAAATTATTTTAATGAAAAAATAAAGTAAAAATATAGGAAAAGATATATAAATTTATTAATTCAATACTACGAGTATAAGAAATCCAAAAAAAAAAATACTAAAAAATATTTAAATGATAAACGCTTATAATAAAGTTTGATACCTATCATTATAAGATAAATTTTGATAGTGTTTATGATAAAAAAATACAAATTGTTCGTTAATTATAATTAAATAAAAATTTGTGATACCTACCATTATAAATTGACACATCATACGACGCAAACAAAATTTCGTATTAATAAAAAACCCCAACAAGCAAATTTTGTGTTAATTTTGGTCATCAATGGCCGGGTAATTTTTAGCTTAATTTTTAAAATCCTAATTATTACTTACATTGTATTAATTTGGGATACTCAACGATTATATGTTTAGTTTTATTTACTAAATGTTTTTTTACATGCAGATCTAACACATCATACAACACAAATAAAATTTCGTATCAATACAAAACCCCATCAAGCGAATTTTGTGTTGGTTTTAGGTCATCAATGTTCGGGTAATTTTTAAAATCTTATGTTTAAATTTATATTTGTAATTATTAGTTACATTGTATTTATTTAGGATACTTAACGATTATTTGTTTATATAATGACATACGATTAGATGTTGTATACTTAATATATGGATGGCTTTGGTTATTTTTGGGGATGATGAAAAATTCCAATGCATAGATTTGATTTTATATCGCAATAATTTTTCATTTATTGGTAAATATATTGATTTATTTTATATAAATGTAAAGATTTAATTTATATCAATTTCAGTTTGGCTAACATTTCATGATTCTATTGAAATAAAATATATGGTAAAACAATGAATAATGATTTAGAATGTGAAATGATAAATTTTTAATAATTTAAATTCTAAATCATATTTACAATTTTTTCGGGTCAGGTCAAATTCGGGTCAACAAATGTTCGGGTCGTGTTTGGGTCGGGTCGGGTCATTTCGGGTTTCGGGTCAATAGATTATCGGGTCTGGTCGGGTATCGGGTCGATACTTCGGGTCGACTTTGGTTGGGTCGAGTTCGGGTCAAGTCAATTCGAGTCAGGTTAGTGTTTGAGTCCATATATTAGGTCAAGTTTGGGTCGGGTCGGGCTGACTTTGGGTCGGGTCGGGCTGACTTTGGGTCGGGTTATTTCGGGTCGATACTTTGAGTCAAGCAATTAAGCTTAAATTAGTAGATTTGTAATTTTTATACGGATTAATTATTAGTTTTTTTTTATAGGAAATATAGTTATTTGTGTTAATATCATTGTTATTGTTGTCATCATTATTACAAGAATATTGTAACATTAATTATCATCATCATCATCATCATAATCATTATTATTATTATTATTATTATTATTATTATTATTATTATTATTATTATTATTATTATCATCTATAATAGTGCCTTTGTTTTTATTTACGTACTCCATTTTCATTGGACACTTATGCAATAATGCATATGCGTGCAAAACTTTGACAAATAATATTTTGTAATTATCAATAAGTATACAAATAAAATAGTTGAATCTTAACAAACTATTCAATGTGACAATCTCATTATCTTAATAATAAATATTTACAAAGTAGAGTTTAGTAGACTATATTTTTTCTTATGAGTAAATCACTAACATTGATTATAAACTCAAATTATAATAGAGTATGAAATCCCAATTTAGATATTTAAAAAAAAAAAGTCTCGGTTAAGCACTTAAAAAAAGAAAAGTGAGTAACAATAACAATAAGCGACTAAGCGTCAGTTTTTAATTAAGTGGAAATCTTTATGAATTACAAAATTACATATTATTTAAGACGATGTTACAATAGAAACGCTTTTTGCATGTTTTGAGTAATAATAAAGCAAATTAACACCATTAAGGTATTATTAGCTTATTGCTAAAACCTATTCAGTCAATCTAATTCTAGTTATGTATATCAAGCAAAAATCATAACAAGGTTGTTTAGTTTAAGGCATGTCTTCGGTATAGGTTGTCCTATGCTCGTATTACTTTTGGCTTGTCTATTACTCAATTATATAATTTATATAGTTTACAACACTACATCTAATGTAATGAATAAATTTATTTATATAGTATTTTAAGGATATATGATCATTGTTGCGTATTATATGTATGTTTGTAAGAGAAAAAATTAAATTAAAATATGTCTAGTGACCGACGACCACATGTCGGGTAATTGTTGCAAACTATATTACATTTTAAAATTTAATTAGCAAGACATTCGGATATAAAGTTACAATTAGATATGTTTATCATTAACAGCAAAAGTTAAAAGTGAAGATTTATTTTGGTTAATTTTTTTTGGGAAATTCATCCCTCCAAAAGCAAAATTCATTTAGAAGAACCAAAACAGTGAAATACTAGCGGAAAAACTCTCTCCTTGTCTATTACTCCAAATTTACCAAAATAAATAAAAATAACAAAAAATTAAACAAAAAAAGTAAAAATATCATATTCCAGTACTCCACTAACTAAGAGAGAGGCAGAAAGCATTCTACCCACCCAAAATTTCCCGAAAAAAAAAAAAAAAAAAAAAAAAAACATTCTACCCAAAACATCAAAACCCCTAATTTGTTCTGTCGTTCTTGTTTTTCACTCCATTCTCTCTCTTTACTCACTCCATCTCACTTACCAAGCTAGATCCTCACCAATTCTGCTTCACCTCAGGATCAAGTGTTTTCCGTCATTTATTGTGGGGAAATCTAAGGTAATTTTCTCTCTTCTATATCTGAAATTTGATTATTATCTGTAATTAGGTTTTTTAAATTAATTTTGGGTAAGTTGGTATCAATTTGGTTAGGGTTGTATTTATCAGTTTGGTGTTTTTGAAATTAGTGATATTTACCTTAGAAATGGCTTTCATTATATTGAAGCTGTCTTTTCCTTGCTTCTTGTCGTTCTTCACTTTCTCTAATCTGTTCCACCTCTTTTCATTACTATGAAATTATTGAAATTGGAAGCTTTATGAAGGGATTCTATCATTTTTTGGGTTGCTTGAAACATCCTCTATTACTATCCTACCAATTGCAGTACTCCATTTCCCCCCCCCCCTTTGTACGAATTAGTGGGAATCCACTTTAGAAGATTAATAGGAAATCCACTATCTTTAGAAGGTTTATAAATCACGACATAATAAAGCAATTGGCATTTTCTATTTTTCTAATTGTTAAAATCCAAACACAATTTGATAATCTAATAAGTTTATTGTAATTACAACTAATAGTAGTTTCCTTATTTGGTTTAAGAAATGAGAGTCTTTAGTCTAAGTTCATAAATTAGAGTCTTTACAACTAAATAACTAATAGTAGTTTTGAATTTTTGCTCCTATAATCTGTCTTAGTATAAGGTCTAAGTATTCTTTACACCCCTGCTCTTGGTTTATTGAAAAATCCTTTGCATTTTGTTTTATGTGGATGGTACTTAAACGCTAGTTAATTGTAATTACAGGCTGATTTTAAGGTTGTCTGCAATACTCTTAATCATCAGCTAGCTTCCTTTGCCTTTCTTATATTTCTCAATTATTAAACTGAGTTATGCTTATTTAGTTATCTTATCAAATCATGTTAATATACTCTTTTAACTTAATTTTGTGGCAATCTGATGTACTCTAAATATACTCACAATATGTACTCTGTCTCTGTATCATGAAATATTCGTCAATTCAAATTAACAATGGACTAATGATCTAATTTCTTTTTTCTTTTTTTTTATGCAGCATGGATCATATTATTTATGATGAACCTGTTTATTCACCAGACGAAATAAACTATGATTGTACACCAGAGGAAGAAGCCGATGTTGCTATTTCACCTGTAGTTACAATTGAAAGCAATAATGTGGATGTTGACACTATGCAACATGTACTTGCTGCTTTAGATAAGAAACGGAGCTCAGTTTGGCTAGAATTTCTCACACTTGACAAGGCAAAATCTAGTGATGGGAAACAAAGGTCAATTTGCAAACATTGCCATAAATCTTCCTTCATTTCCGATGCCCATTATGGAACCCAAAATATGCAAAGATATCTTAGAAAATGCAGCGCATATGCGAAACATTTGAAAAACCAAGAAGGAAACAAAGGTAAAGTGATCTTTGACTAGAAGGTGTATAGAGACTTGGTAGCTAAAGCCATAATAAAACATGGATATGCTTTTTCTTGGGTTGAACATGATGGTAATAGAGAAATTCATGCATATTTAAATGATGAAGTAAATTTCATTTCTAAAAATACTACTAAAGCTGATTGTTTAAAAATGCATAAAACTTTGAAGACTCGGTTAAAGGAAACTCTTCGTAAAGTCTCTAGTCGTATCTCTTTGACATGTGATATGTGGACCTCTTGTCAGGGATATCTATGTTTGACTGCTCATTATGTGGATGATAAATGGAAATTAATTAGTACAGTGTTGAATTTCAGTCATATTGTCTCACCACACACCGGAAAAACCATGTATACTGTTGTGTTGATGATAAGATTTTTTGCTTCACATTAGACAATGCCTCTAGTAATGATAGAATGCAAGATTATTTCAAAGAAACTCTACTTGCAAGAGAAGCTTTGTTGTACAATGGTGATTTTTTTTCATGTACGATGTGTTGCACATGTATTAAATCTCATTGTTAAAGATGGACTTAAGGTCATTGAACATATTGTTGAGAAAGTAAAACTTTGTGTGAAGCGTGTTAAATATTCTAAAACAAGAAAAAATACTTTCCGATCTTGTGTGAATTTAGCTAAGATAAAAGAAACAAAATCGTTGTGGGTTGATGTTCCAACAAGGTGGAACTCTACATACATGATGCTTGATAGGGCTATTTTATATCGTGAGGCTTTTAGGAAAATGTCTGAAGTTCAGCATTGTTGTCCTAATTCTGAAGAGTGGGATTTACTTCAGAAAATTCGGGATGTTTTAGAACCGTTTCATGAGATAACTGAGTTGTTTTGGGGAAGTGATTATCCTACCTCAAATCTGTATTTCGGGAATGTTTGGAAAATTCTTATGCTTTTGATGGAGTTGGAGCGTGATGATGATGTTATTTTGAGGACAATGGCAGTAGAAATGAAGAGCAAGTTTGACAAGTATTGGTTCAACTCAGAAGAGGATAATTATAGCATGTTATTTGCATTTGTTGTGATTCTTGATCCTCGTTGCAAATTATATTTGTTAAAGTTTTGTTATGGAAAGATATTTGGAGATGTAGAGGCTACCTTGAGAGTTAGTGATCTTCAATTTAAGTTGGAGAAGTTTTACAAGCTATATACCCAAAATGGAACATCAACGACACCGAACATCAACACTAACACGGGAAATGCCTCAAGCTCCAAAACCTCCACAAGTACTTCATATGGAAACTACAAGCGGAAATTTGACTATTTTGCGGAAATTATTCGTCTGTTTTTTTTAACTGCAATACATTCTAATTTTTTTTTTTTACATTGCAACTACCTTCTTTTTTTTTTTTTTGGAACTACCCTCTGTCTTTTGGTTTTTTATGCAACTACATTATGTTTTCAGTTTTTTTTTTTTTTTAAACTACCTTCTGTTTTTTTTTTTTTTTTTTTTTATGCAACTATGTACCTTCTGTTTTCTAATTTTTTTATGCAACTATCTTCTTTTTTCTGGTTTTTATTTGTTTTTTCTAGTTTATCTGGTGTTCTTCCTGTTTCCATTATGTTCTTGTTGTGTTTAGTTTATCTTTTTTGTCTCCAATTTCTGGTTTTTTATTTAAGTAATTTCTAAATTTTGCTTTTTCTAATGTTAATTTCAGTCATATGACGATAAAGAGGCCTCTTCTACTTTAGGTGAGAGGTCAATATTGGATATTTATCTCGAGGACCCTAAACTTGGTCGAACGGCGGAGCTTAACATATTAGCTTTTTGGAAAGAAAATGAACATCGATATAAAGAGCTTTCCCATCTTGCTAGAGATATTTTGGCTGTGCCCTTGACAACAGTTGCTTCGGAATCAACTTTTAGCATAGGAAGTCGAATATTGAATAAATGGAAAAGTTTTTACATTCTTAAAAATGTGGAGGCTTTAATAACAACTCGTAGTTGGATGTTCTCTTTTGCTTTTTTTTTTTAACATATGTATACCTTTATTGTTGCACTTATAGTGTATTTGATTATATTATTGGTTTTAAATTATATATTTTACATTATATTTGTAAATTTATAGTAATTTTTGTTTTTATGTTTATGTAGCAAATGAAGATGATGGGTTTGTTGGTTCTTATGTGGATTGGGCTCCAACCGAAACACGTGCTTGATGTCAACAATTTTAGGGTGGAATATTGGAGTACAGTAGTTAGAATATAAGTTTGGTTGCTATCTTTGTCAATTAGAACTTGTAATATTGAACATTTTGTTATGTAAAGGTTGACGTGGAAATTATTGTACCACTTTTATTTCTACACTTGTGAAAGTTGTGACTAATTAGCATTAATTTGCTATTGAACTAATGTTTTGGAGCTTGATTTTCAAGTTTATTTTTGCATACAATTACTCACTGAAATTTTAGCAACTTTTTATTAATCTTGTGGTGAAACTCTACAAGTTTGGTGTATAGATCTTATAGTATGGCCATTAATTTTCAATCGTTTTTCCAATTTGTTATAAATTTAACACAATGGTGAAAAGAATTAAGAAAAGGAATACAAAAAATATGTAAATTATTCACTTACAATGTTACACATTACTAACAAAGTTTTAATAACCAAGTCGGTTTGGTTCAAGCTATTTCAATTTGGGCATGTTCAGGTCACGCGCGTAATACTGGCTAAATCGATTTAGGTCATTTTGCGTATAAGGTAGTTCTAGTTCAGGTCATTTTGGGTTCCGGGTATATTCGGGTCAATTAGTTTGGGTTAAAATCGAGTCAGGTCAATTCAGGTATCGGGTCCATTCGGTTCGGGTCATTTCGGGTATCGGGTCAAATTCGGGTCGGGTCACTTTGGGTATCGGGTCAACTTTGGTCGAGTATAATCGTCAACTTCGAGTTTCGAGTCAAGGTCGGGTCAACTCCACATCGAGTCGGGTTTAGGTCAGGCCGGGTTAATTTCGGGTCATTGTTTTCGAGTCAATTTCGGGTCATTGGTCCGGTCATCGGGTCTGGGTCAAGATTGCCGGGTCTAACTAATATATAAATCATTTGCACCTTTTTCATACTAGCATTTGCACGTTTATTGTTACACGTAAGCGACAATTAATTATTAGTATGACATGTAGGATTTATTTAAATATATTTGAAAATCAAAACTAAAAAAAATAATTACGACAGATAAAAAAGAAATGCAAGGGATTTTGTAGGTGACGAATCTCTCATAATATTGACAGTCAGTTGCGACTCGGCCTCAAATTAAGTCCGACGTTATCACACAAATCTCCCAAGCACAAGCCAAGCTGGCACATGGAGAAACTCACATACTATCTCTGTTTCTTTTTTGTTGCAGCTATTTGACTTTTTCACTTTTTACATGGTTCACTTTAACCAAGATTTAAGATATATATCCAAGTAAAAATATATTCAAATAGGATCTTATGAAATTCGTCTCGTAGTTTTATAATATTAACTTAAAACTGAGGTAGTAAATCCGCTATTACATTATTAAGATTCTGATTATATTCTTGCATCATTTCCACCTTACTAAACCATTTTACGTAGTATTAAATTGAAACGTTTAAGAGATACATTGAGCATACTGTTTTCATCAACTTGACACTTATTCCAAACAGGAGATAATGAATGCTTCAGTATTATACCAGACTAAGCACTGGAGCTCACTCGAAAACTGAAACCACCACGTCGAACAGATTTTCGGATTACAGGAATGAATGAAATAAACACAAATCTAAAGAAAATTCACTATGCTGTACATTTTCAGAAAATTAGTACATGAAACAGGGAAATAATCCAGGGGAGGGATAGAATAAGTGCAGCTAGTACTCATTTTCCATACTAGCATTTGCACCTTTATTGTTACACTTGGGCCGATGCTACTTTTTGACAGTGGTAGTATAATTATATGATTATTAAGCGACTAATCGCTACTGAACCAACTGTAAAAACTGTGATTCTGAATTATATCAAAAGCAGTACATGATGTTTCTGGGACTTGGACCATACAGCAGATTTCTGATTAGGCTTTGGAATTTCCGAGTTTTGTCACAATGGACTGGATTTCAGAGCTGCTGCACCCTTCCCCCACCTCTCCAATATTGGGGCTGTCAAGCGACACAACATGTGTAAGAGGGTAGTTTCTGTTAGCGTGGAGAGACTTAAATGCTTTATTGCTGACTCCCTTCATGATTACACTCTTATGGACTCCACCAAGCAAGCCTTCATAATCGGTGTCTCCACATTCTCCAACAAAGACCACCATCTTTGACAGATCAACGCCCCAACGAACATATAGATACCTGAATATTAATTATGTTTCGCAGGTTAGACGGATTTTAAAACACCAACCTACCAGGTCTCTGGACATCATATTTTTCATCTCTTTTTGGGGGGATGAGGTTGAAACAAGAGAGGGAACCCCAAATAATAACCTTCTGAGAGTTCTGACATTAGAAAAGCAAGAAATAAGAGGATTTTTGGCTGAACTAATTGATGACAGTAAAAAAAAATGTACTCAGACTACAGGCTTATTTCTTCCACTAATTTAGGGGTAAAAGGGTTAACAACATCAAATAAGATAGATTCAGATGCACTAAATTTAGATTAAGTACAAACAAACGAGTTCACAGAAAATAAGGGCTACCCAAATTCAATTTCCAACTCTTAACAAGGTTTGACAAGTTCATATAAAAGAAAATTAGGTAAATCAAACATACCCTAAACAATGAGACCATGAAATCAAATGAAGAACAGTATCTGTTAAATTAGCTCTGGGACAGAAATATAACTTCATCAGCTCCTAAAATCTCACTATGTTATGGTTTGCCTATACATATCCTAAATTGTACAGGTTCTATCTGAGGTTTTTAGAAAAAGTGAGATTCTCAGCAAAAAAAATGTATATCATCAAATAGTAAAGCTTTGTTTCCTTCGTCAAGGGATGCAGAAGAGGTTAATAGATGTAGACGATATTTTAAATTTAAGTTATAGTAAAACCCCCTAGATTTATTACCAAAAAATGCAATTCCATATTACAGGGGTAGTTTTACCTGAGGGCTTGAGAACGAGATGCCAGTACGGGAATCACATTCATTTTAGTCCCGTTTTGACAATAGATCACATGGCAGCGAAGACCCTGAATTCTCATCGACTTGCGGAGCTCCTTGCTAGGGGGAACCTGCCATGAGGAAAGCAATAGATGATAATCGACATCAACTATTCTGTTTAAACACCAATTCAAAGTTTCATCTTATAAAAAATACCTTATCTTGGTTCTTTATCTTGAAAGCAAAGCAATAATCCGTAGAAACTTCATTATCTTCAGTGACAACTTGTTCTTCGTTATCATCTTTCTTTACAGCAATTGAAGCTGCCCAGCGAAGCAAAGTCCTCCGGAGGCCTTCTCCACCCCACCTGTATTCAATATGTGAATGGTAATCTGAATCTGCTACAATAGGACTCTCCTCGGGGGTCAGAGATGAATAGTACAAATCACTGCCACTGTTGCATATGTATGCATCAAAATCATTAAGATTGAAGCCCTTCGATAGCAGATATGACTGAATCTCTGGCATAGAATAGGAGGTTGACAATATAAACCCAATGGAACCTTCAGTCTTGTCCTTATCAGCAGCATCAAATATCCTTCGAATAATATCAGAAAGTCCATCTTCATAATCTCCATCTACAGCAATAACATATATATGTTTTCTCCTTCTAAAAGCTGGATATTTACTAGAAGCCAGATCTCCTTTATCCGAGAACCTAGCCTTACGAGCATCTTTGGGATCACCCTTTGACCATGACATAACAGCATTCTCAAGATTGTTTTTGCCATCATTTCCGAGACTCTCAACATCTTCACCCTTATCTCCATCTAATGATATTGAGAATTTCAAATTTAGAGATATATCTTTTATGTCTCTTAACGAATCACTTGGAGATTCAGTCTCCTCATTTTCAATCCCTTCATCACTAGGTTTTTGCCACTGAGGCTGTCTTTGTCTGCAACTTGCTATTCGAGATAAGTATGTCTTGCAATGCTCAGGCCACGAGTACAGATGGATATTTTTAAGTCCATTCTGCCGACATTTTGCCCATAATTGCTTATCTGCAACAAGCTTCAGCAAAGCAGTAGCAAGAGACTGCTGCTCATGAGGATCCACAAGCAAGCCATTGTCGAGAACCTGTTAACAGTTTTATGTTAAAATGAAAATTCAGAATACACAATTACACAGCCTTAATGTAGAAAAAGCAACAGATTTCAGAAAAGTGAACTGGTTTCATTAGCTAAATTACCCTCTGGATATCAACAGGGCCTCCATTTTTTGTAGCGACCATTGGTAAACCATGAGCTGCTGCCTGCAAGAAGTAATAAACGCTGACCAAAACCACAAGAGAAAAATATGTGCAAAAAAAGTTATAAGTAGATTTGCCAAGTTAGATAAGTACCTCTATTAAAGTTAGCCCAAATGGCTCAATAAAAGCTGGATTAATAAAGACTCCCTGCACCGATACAGAAACCATTTAAAAATAGATCGGATTGCTACTTTTGGACAGAGGATAAAACATTACCTGACAAAATAAGGGATCATACAAAAGTCAAAACTTAGTTATGCTTAAGTACCTTCGTCTTTGCTGCCAAACGATAAATTTCAGGAACATCAGCTTGGTTGTGATGTTTGGGATATGCAACTTGACCATAAAGGTCATATTTATCAATTAGCTTAAGCACTGACATGAGAACTGAAGAGCTGGTGCTAGACATCTCGTCAATACCATCCCGATTACCCATAATAAGAGTCTGCAAATATCAAAGGCAAAAAATTCAATTTAGTAAAAATAATGGAGGTGACATCATTAAGAAGTTCAACTATAAAAACATAATATCATGGAAGTAAACGTACTAGGTTAGCTAGCTCCCTTAATGGACGGCATTCGCCAAATGCTTTGACCAAAGTCGTAATGTTCTTCTTTGGGTCAGGCCTAGCAAGGGCAAGGATCATTGGTTTTCTTGGGTTAGTAAAGAAGCGCATTATCTGCAAAACAAATATATACAATAAATTAAACTCAGAAACAAGAAGGTGCAATATAAGGGTGTAAACTGGTGCTATGGTGCATAATGTTAGAGAAACAGCATCCAACCATAAACAAATAGCCAAAAAAAAAAAAAGAAAAGAAAAGAAAAGGAGGAAAGTTAGTGCTGCGAAAGGGAAAAAGAGAGCATGTATAAGACCTCAGTCCAGATAGGCGGAGGTGATGTGGGATGTTCTTCAATTTCTTCTGCTTCACCATCCAAATCAACCTCATGTGGAACAATATGATGGAATTCCATTCCAGGAGGAATAACCTGCACAACATGACAAACTTTCAAAAGCAGATAAAAAAAAGTGAAGTACAGTAATATGCAACCCAGCAGTTTGGGTGGTGACCTCAGATGGAGCAAAATATTAACATGTTTTCCTAAATCCATCAGGGAAAAAGTTTATATTCATTAAAAACAGCGATTCAATGATGTCATTTGAGACAGACCAAATCTGATCAGCAAAGATCTTTTAGCCAATGCATGTCTCATCAAGTGTCCCAAACATTTTCACCTTGCCAGCTTATAAAAAATAAAGGTTATTTATTCTGTACAAGATGAATTTTAGTGGCAACATCTGGAGGAAAGGCCACGAGATGCCGGGATGAGATACAAAGGACATAAAATTATGAAACATTGTAAAAAGCCCTGTTTTCCGTAATGAGTACTAGTATATACTGAGTAGCATAACAGAAAGCTTAACAGGTGAAAGTGTAATGTAACTGCCGCTAGATACTAGAAGTGTCAACTGCAGCATCAGGCAACTCAGCATCAGGCACTAAAGACGCAAATCATGTGGAAAGATTTGGTAGAGTTCCAGACTTTTTTAAGGACACAATGAGTAACACAATATGTGATCACAGCTACAAATCGCCTGAATGCTATACTATGCATGGCACACATGCACCGTAATTCACCAGCCACATGTGTCAGCCAAAATCCTAATTTGAAAATAAATTTTTTGAAAAGAATCAGCTAGGAAAAGTGTTTTGAGCTTTGATTCAAAGAATGATCAACAAGACCAAAAAGATTTCAGATTACAGTTGTCATGAATCTCATTATCATAGTGGTTATTCAAGCATCCAAAAATTCAATATATAAAAAACCAGCAACCAACTGGCCATAAACGTTAGATCTATATACCACTACCAGTTTCAGTGAAACTTACAACCATACGGGGCATGAACCTTCCATAACAGCTTACACCACGCTTCATCCTTGCTCGGAGTTTACGTTCTAGCACGGGATCAAACCCATCATAGAGCCGCCACTGCTCTTCTATTTCTTGTCTTGTACTAGTTATGACTATCTCAGAGGCATCAAGTGATAGCTCTTCGGCTTCTATCCTACGCATCATTTTGTATGTATTATTTATGTCCTCTTTAGACATTCGACCTTGTTTGAGGAGCTGCTCTAACTTGTCTCGGCCAAGAGAATGCCCTGTTAAAAGCATCGGAACATTTAGAGCACCAGAGAGCAGAGCAGCAGAATCACCAGCATCAGCATAATGTCCATGAATAGCAACTGGCCAAACTGTTTCCCCACCACCAATTTGTTCACCTAGAACTTTGGACATCTGGACTATGTGGTTTAAAGCACCATCAACAAATTCTGGAATATAAGGCCAAAGCTCTTCTTTTGGGATATATTTATCCCTAGGTCCAAAAGGTATACGAACAATGTAAGCACCACTGCTCTCTCCCATCTCATCATCGTCATTATCATCGTCAAAACCATTGGAATCTGTCCGATTCAGCATCTCAGTTGGCTCTCCGTAACTCCAATCCACATCAGGAGATGAAACTTGCCTAGTTAGCAAATCAACTCGGTAAACTCCTGGCATTGAACCAAGAGCCCTTGCAAGCTCAACTACATATTTTACCTGTAATCCAAAGGCAGAAAAACTTATAAGTCTGTTTGTCATGAGATAAAGCTATGAATCACACAAACTTGGATTAATGTTACCTGACCACCAGTATCAGAATCACGACCAAGTTCCATGTTTTCACCTCGTATCAAACCATGAAGACTGCATATAAACAAGTGGGGAGAAAATTAAACCACACTACATAAAAGTGGGAAAAAAGAAAAAGGAAAAAAAAGAAAAAAAAGAAAAGAAAAAAAAGCACCCTAATATTTTGCAAATTTATCAGTTAATGAGCTGCAAGAAATATATAGCATGGATCAAAACATTCCAAAGCACACCTAAAATATTTGTAAATACTTACAAGAAACCTGCTCCTAATTCTATATTCAATAAGAGGGATCACAGTGAGCCTGTGATGTAAGAAATAATATTGCAAGAAGCACTCTGTATTGCAAAAATCTACAATAAATTGAAAAAGAGATATAATGATGTCTATGGAGCAAGAATTTATCATGCGCAAAAGGATCTTATTATCATGGAGCAAGACAATCAGTCAGTGACTGATTACCTAACCAAGATAAAAAATAAAAAAAAACCCTTAGGAATGAATATATTTCTGTTGTAAACTTACCAGAATATAGATGTGAAGCTGCAAAAGCACTGGCATAATGGTTCAAAATCAGAGGCTCTAGCAATTTCTCATGGCTTGAATGATAATGATGGTGTTTTAAGGGTGAGATTGAAACAGAACAAAACAAAGTCAAGAATTAATGAGCAACTCGATCTTACTTACAGAGTTACAGACCTTGAATCGGTTCAAGTAGCATCCTTAAATTTCTCATCTCCATGCTTTATATCATATGCTATCACACGTGAACGGGTCTGTTCATCAAGGAATTCTACTTCAAGGTGCTACTAAGATCACATACTTCAGTCCAGTTCAAGAAAACCAAGCTTGGAAAATCATCAATCAGCTAAAAATCTAATTAGTAACCCATCATGTTCATGTCTTCCTCATAAGCTGAATACAGAAAAATGCCTTAAGCTGCTGCAAAACTCATTTGGCTTGCCAAGTTACTAGAGAATTATAAGTCCGACTCTACACATCATGTTCTTCTGCACTGTAATAGCCAGTCTACAGTACATACAGCTAAAAACCCAATGTATCATGAGCGTGCTAAGCATATGAAGATTAAATTCCATTTTACAAGGGAGAAACTTATAGAGGGTCTGCTTCAGCTAACTTATCTTTCTAGTTTCTACACACTTTCAATTGGCAGGTACTTAAAAAAAGCTGCATCAAAATACACTCTAGGAATTTATCATACTTAAAATGATTATCCATTCTTAGCCTGAGGAACATGTAGAATTGAACTGAAATTGGTTGCAGAGGGCCCAATAACAACAGTACATTCGCCAGCTAGGACAAGTTTGTCAGAGTTTCTGCTTGCTAAGAGAGTAAGAACCATATGGAGTATCCCGAGCAGAAAAAAAAAAAGCTCTCTATGCAACCGCTTTCAAGATTCACTTCACGTTACTTAACTCTGATGCAACATGGAGTATTACCTTATCAAAACAAGGTAGAGCTTTTTCCCCTTTTGCTGACTGATCCAAGTCTCCATAGCATCAAGAGAATTTATTCTTGGCAACCTAGGACGGTTGCTTTCACCATGAGCCGAAACATCCTTCTCTCCCTCGGACAAGTCCTCCGACATTTCAGCAGTTGCTTCTCGACGACCTCTCTCAAGCTCCATGCGGCGTTTTGCCTTTCGCTGAGCTTCTTCATTCTCAAGCTGTACATCAAGCAAGAAACATGAAAAACACATGTATATACCAAGCCAAACATGAAGCCAAGCATCACTTGCCCAAATAGTACTAATTCAATAGAGTTGACTTAACAGCCACATATCAGTCAAAATAAGCTAAAACAGTAATTCAAAATATATAAATAAAAAAGTCAAATTAACACATTAAACACCATTTTATGCACAAGAATAATTTGACTGACCAAAAAACTTTTTTATTGAAAAAGGCAGAAGTGTCAAAATCAGCAATTGACTAACCATATGATGTACGGAGTATTTATACACTACCCATTAGCCAAGTACATGTTCCACTAGCACAAAAATCACACATCTCTCCCCTATATAAACCTCCCTTATACAACCCATTCTAGCCTCTCTCATCAGGTGCACCTGAGTGTATAATCGACACTCCCGATTCCAACAACACTGAACAACCAACCAACCCAATAATCAAACACCCAAATCATAATTATAAATACCCATCAAGGTCTCAATTACTACTACTTTTTTTTTCCAAAATTCACGGTCATTCTAAAAGCCTTCTCCATGAAATTCAAATAATTAGTAACGCACAACAATTAACCCAAATATCATCAAAATGGAAATCAAATTAACAAAATTGCAATTACCTGCTTCTTCTGACGAGCCAAATTCCAAATTCTCCAACACATATTCTCCAATCTAGTATTCCTCTCTTGAGGACTTCTCGTTGCTTGTGCCTGAAAACCCATCAAATCATCCAAAAATGAAACCTTTTTTTTCATCAAAAAAATTAAATTTATTACAACCGCACTTAGTCAGATCAATCAAAACTCCAAAAAAATGATTAATTTACCAAAATTCACATAAAAAATCAAAAGATCAAGACACTAAAATCAGCAATCTAAAAAAATTCGATGAAAATAATGAAAAATTACCCGAGCCCATGAACGATGAAGATCAGTTTCATCAAAACCAGTGATAACTTCTTCAACAAAGTAACGAGTAGGACTAAACCTTCCTCTTTCTCTCAACAAAAGAGATGATTTTGCATCATCAAGACCAGGACCCACATCCAAAATTGCCTCTAAATAACTGTTAATCCAATCATTTCCCGCCATTTTAGTCAATCAGAAGAAACTACCCCAAATACTAGCAATTGTGATTTTTCTTCTTGTTAAAGTTGAGATTTTTCTGGGTTCTTTTGTTTCTGAAAAAGGGTATAAAAAAGATGGGTTCTTTTTTCGAGAGGAGGTGCAGCAGAAGAAGAAGGTGATTTGATTTTGGGGAGTGTGTGTAATTGTATGTGTGCCACAGAGTTGTAGGAAATGTTGTGTTGAGAAGGGAGAGTGGCAATTAATTTGTTGTGTATAATTATGGTAATTTTGATTATTATGGTATATAAAAAAAGACTTATTTTGTCTGAAATTATTAGTCACGGATCGAGTTGATATTAAAATTTAAAGTGTGGATGTATTTATGATTTTTATTTATATTTATAGTTATTTTAAGTAAATCTAGTGAAGTAATTTGGTTTTTTAGAACAAAAAAAAAGTGAATAGTACTTCGAAAGTATAAACTACTCATGTATGAGAGTTAGTTAAATTACGAAATTTTTTATATTTTATCTTACAAATGTGTTTAATTTATGTACGTTCTATAAGAAAAAATCTCACCATATGGGATCTTAATAATTACACATTATAATGATATATGGAGAATGAAACTATAAATATTATTGTCAAAATATCTAAGACACAATGCATAAGATTTTATAAAACGGAAAAAGTAGCTAGTTGAATTATGAATTGAAGCATGAATATTAAGTGTTTTTCAAAACCATGTAGGGGTAAAAGCTAAATTATTTTATGATTCTATAATTTTAAAATATGATTATGTGGCAAAGTATGATTGTATGAAATTATATGCCAATTTTCACAAACCATAAAAAAGAAGGGACGCAAGAAACTATACCAAGTTTGTTGGGGTCTTTTAGTGATTAAGCATTTGTCAATTAGTGACTTTTTAGCTGGTCTGAAAGTAATTGTGTATAAAAAATAAGATTAAACAAATTATGAATAAACTTAATAGTATAAACTAATACTGATTTTTGTGTTTTATGAGAATTCTAAAAAGAAAAAGAGGGAACCATTAATGATTTTAGGTAACATGTCATGTGTTATGTTATGTTAATCGCTTTTGAGCGAATAATCATCCAAGTTTGTTGGGGTCTTTGGTGTTGTAATTTCTTTGATTATTATATTTTTTCAATTTTGGTCTAAATAAATTGATAGTATGATCAAATACTTATTATTATTATTATTCAAAGTAGGTATGACAAAAGCTCCATAAAACCACGTCTCTCAAATTATAAAATTTCGACAAAATTAATTAAATTCACTAATAAAGATGGGATTCAATTAATTTCAAATCTTAGACTAAATACAACCCAAAACTTTAATTAATTGAACTAATTAACATCCGTATATTATACCCGTGCATTAGTGTCCTCTTACAATAAACAACTCTTATTTTTTGATTAATTAGCATTTTATATTTAGTTTAGCTAATTTTCCCTATAAGAATAATGCAATAGTAAATCAAAATTTCTGAAATTTGGTCCACTAATATGTGAGGATGAGATCCTGGTACTTCGTACGCAATTTAAGGAAGATGAACAGTCATTTTCCATACGTAAAAGTTTTAAATAAATAAACAATTTTCACCATTTTGATATTTTAATTTTGGACTATACTTGTATCCTTTTGCCACGTACTATGTTTGGAGTATTATAAATATTTGATTGAAATTAGCGGTCCGAGGAAAAAAGAAAATAGCTAAGGAATCATTCGAGGTATTATTCCATTCGGAGTTTTGGCGATGATGCATAATTGACATTAATTGTAAACATGGTGCTATAATTTGCCCCCCACTTATTTTTGTTTTTAAGATTTGTTAGGCAAACTTCTTAAAATTGATTTAATTTTAAAAATAAAGTAAAGGGTTTGCAAAACACTAAATATTAATTCAAATTATATTATTTTTGACATTTTATAAATTTCAAAATAAAAAGACGTGATTGTATTGCAAACTCTCAACTTCACATAATAATTTTGTAATTTGTATACAACTATTGTTGGACATGTTTTTATTTAAACTAAATGTTGAGAATAATGCATGAACCCCAAATTTCAGTCACAAATTTATAATATAAACTCTTTAATTCTTGTAATATCAGCTATTATAAGTGATAGTGTTAATCATGCTAAGCTAGCATTTAAATGTTGATTGTATTACAATTCATATGAATCTAATCATCATTAGTAAAAAGCATATACTGTATCTTTCAAGCATTTACATGTTAGCTACAATATGATTTTGAACCATTATTAACAAGACTATATAAGAGTATACATCATGAAACTATTCATTATATTGTAGATTGCTATTTGGAATATAAAGTTTTTATTAAACATTTAGTCATCAAGTGCAATTGGTAGCTTGGTGGTAAAGTACTACGTATTTGACATTTGTAGGTACCTAGTTTGGTTCTTTATTGGGTTATTCAATCATTGAAAATTGTATTATGTTTGTCTTAATTGGGTTTTAAATTAGAAAAAATTATAAAATCTCGGAAACATTACGAAAAAAATTATGTGCAAAAACCCTCTAGCAGTGAAAGTGTATGTGTCATATGAAAACCCTCTCTTTCACTAAAAGAACATTAAACCATCTATTTAGTAAGGTTAATTACGTGCAAAAAAGAAACAAGCGGAAGGGTTGATGTCTACTAGTTATCTCTTTGTCTATATAAATTATAAATAAAATAATATTCGTATGTATGTGAGTATTTATTTTGTACAATTAGTTCTATTTTACTTATTATTCAATTTGCTAAATATCTCTAGTGGGGACGAGCTAGCATTGTAACTTGATAGTTACTCTTAGATAAGATATACGTAGTATGAGAAATATAAGATTAATCTGTCAAGTTTTTTCTACCTTGTGCTAATATCAGAAGACTAGTTGCAAAGAAATAAAGGAACGACTTTGCTGGCTTAGGTGTAGTTACGTTGACTCTTGATTAACTTATTAAAATTCATGTTATTAACAATAATTGCTACAAAAAAAAAAAGTCAACCTATTTTGTGTTAGAGGAAAGCATAGCATCTTGAATATGACATGTTATCAACTGATATGTATTTGTTGTCTAAGTTCCAAGAATTTCCTCCACTCATGAACAATACATCAGAATAAATACTGGAATTTGCACCATAAAAAAGGTAGTTTTAGGCAGTACTGTGAATCTATGATGTTTATCAATTAACTTAATTATCAATTAGTTGACAATTATATTAAGTGAGCAAATTCATGACTTAGGTCTTTGCTTACATACATTTTGTTGTTTTCGACTTGATATCTAAAACTAAACAAATTCAAATAAGTTCATACAATATAAATCCATGTAAAATAAGTACGTTTATCTCAAACAAATATAGCTAATATGTATCAGACTATCAGTGTTTCTAAAAGTTATTAACTCAAATAAGTTTGGACAAAATTTATTTCTAATAATAAGATCATACGAAGTATATTATATACTCTATTAGACTAAAAGACACTTTGATATAATGGGTTAAGATGAAAATGATGATTAACAAAGCTTAATCGAAGATAGCATTTTAAAATGTACATATGGAGTACTCTATACTTCGTATTAAGGATGTCAAAGTATGTAAACTATTTTAGGACAAAGTGAGTAGTCGAATGCAAGATGCGAAATTTTAAATGCCAATACATATTCAACTATATTTCACTTACATCTTATTAATGTAAATTAGTGAAGTATATAATGTAAAAGTACTTTAATTTGATCGGTACACACTTAATAGATTTGTAAGAACCATACCCCCCCCCCCCCCTTGAGCTTATTACACAATATTAAACTAAAAAAGTATTACATGCACTAGCAGACCGTGACACTTAAAAACAATCGGAAGTGGTTATAACTTATACTTCCTTCATTTACAAATTTTTGTAACACATTGGCCTTGTTTTGTAATTAGTTGTTAGCTGCTGATTGATATAGTTGATTGTATTAACTGATTTGACTAGCTGGTTATATTAAATTATTTGACTAGCTGATTGTAAATAGTTGATTGTGTAAAAATGTTTGGTAAATAATTGTTTATTGTTAGCTATTTCAGTGTATTTAATACTTAAAAAAGATAATTGTTCAATAAACTAATTTCCAAAAGTGCTTTTCTAAAATAGTTTTTTGATCCTAAAAAGCTTTTTTCATAAGCTATTTACCAAACATCAAAATTAGCTTTTTAAAATGGTCAAACCTCTAATAGTGTTCAATAAGTTAAAAGCTTGTTAAAAAGCTCTTTAATAAACAAAACCTGTAACTAAAATATAAAAATATTTTGTCAAAATATTGCAATTTTTATAAAACGAATGAAGTACTGTATGTTATATCTTGACCATGTATGTTATACTGAGTAACAGAACAGTATAAGTGTGCGGGTGTGTACACATTAAATGGTTGGTTTACTTCCCGCCACCACGTGCAATTTGAGGTTTGTTACAATGTAGTCGAGTACACCGTATTATCATAGACAACTCGTTTGCCGTTAATTTCTCATTATACCGTGCAAGTTTCCAACTGGGCCCAACCTACTTTGATTTTTTTGAACGTTGTTTAATTTGGAGGTCAACTTTTGGAATAGAGTCGTGTAATTTTATCATCATTATCTTCAATTTGAACGTGAATTTGTATAAGATGTAATCAAATTAATACGAATATTATACCACGATAACATATACCAGTGAATCAAATATTTGCAATAAATGCATCTTTGTTATGATTTTTCATGTTAATAATTATTAGAGACATACCTCGTAAAATCAAATTGTGTTTGTACTTTTGTATTATAATTCTTATATTACAACCGTCAAATTTGAATAAGAATACTTATATGGGTTACTTTGTGATGATGTTAATAAAAATAAGCCAATGTAATTATAAGATTAAGACTAGATGCAAAATTGCAAATATAGAGACTAAAGAAATACTTTAAAGCCACCCCTTTGTTGAATTGTTGGACACTTTGAATTTTGGAAGTTTTTAACACAATGGTAATAAGCCGTACGGAAGTAACACTTTTTATTGTTGCAAATTTTCTATACCAATGTACGTCAATATGTCATACATCTAATTTTGCCAAACAGATAAATATTATCCTTGAGGCTTAATTTTGCTTTTGGTTTCTTGCTAGAGCTTGGATTAAGAGAAGCTTTATTCACTAAAACTTGGTTCAAACTCGATAATTAGTACTCTACACATACTCTAATCTATCGAATCTCACTTCTCACCTACAAGTCAAAAATTTAACCGTAACTTGAAAATTTATTATTATTCTATCAAATATCACTTCTAAATCTCACCTACAAGTCAAAAATCTAATCATAACTTGATAAAATGTTACCAAATTAGTCACGATATGGATCGGAAATATACCTTCCCTACAAGAACATTCACCATCAATCATTTGCACAAGGAGAAACAAAATGATGGAAGTGAATATACCAAATCAAAACCTGATGTTGCGTGAATTAAACTTTCCTAATTTCTCTACCAACAGTCAAAATATTCCAACTTGACTTAAAAATAAAAAATCAAAAATTTGCGTCAACAGCCAATTGGGTGTTGCATCAACCATAACCCCACCTCCATTTCCAGCTATTTGCCTCCCTTAAAGCTTTTCTCTAAGTCACTCTCTTTTTTCTTCTTTCTTCTTCTTCATCTTTATCTTCTCTTCTTAGACTCTTCAAAGAACAAATTGTTCTTGATTTTCTCTCTTTCTCTGGTCAGCCGCCTCTTTTACAGGTTTATTTCTATCACCCATTTTCACTTCTTTTGTATTGCTTGTCAATTAAAAGTGAAAGTTGATCCTTAAAATTCAATGTTTGGGATACTTTTGTTCATGGGTTTATCTCAAATCATGATTTTGAACACTTTTTGCTGTCTTTTTTTAGGATTTTGTATACGGGTTTATCTTAGATTTTGATTCTGAGCATCTATTGTGTTGGAATTTGATCAATAATGCAAGTTTTTATGTTTGATTTGGTGTATTTTATAATTAGTTTAGGTATTTTGGGTGATCATGGTTTTTGCATTGTCGTTCAATTATGAGATTGGACTTTAATTTTGGATGTATGTCCTTAAATGGGGTTTTGCAATCATTTGTGTGCTTTCAATCATGAACTCTTTTAGGTAATTAGATGTGATTCTCATACCTGTAATTATAGCTGGTTGTTTTTTATAGTTCAAAATGTTATCTAATTTTAGTTTATATAGAGTTTGTTGGCTGATTAAGCCCGGCCTAGCTAATCTCGAGGGCCGGGCACGTGGGGCGGAGGCATTGTTTTTGTTCTAGCTTGCAGGTGATGATGAGGCATTATTAAGTTGGGTGTTTACTATAATGAGGTGGTTGATGTATGGTGTTTTCAGTCTGGCTGCTTATGTGTACATGTTTAGCCAGTGGGTAACATGCAATTCTGTACTCTTAATAGGATATTATAGTTTGTATTAACATTAAATTTTATATGATTGAGTTGTTGAGCCATTATAATTTGTTTTAACATGTGATTCTGCATACTTTTTAGGTATTGCAATATGGTTTAGCTTATTTTTCAATGTTTCCCCCCAGTAGTCTGACCTTTTGGGGTTTCTTCATCTCAGCTTAGCTCCCGCGGCAGACAACTCAGACTGTGGGTGTAAACGACAGTCATTAGTCTTCGATCTTCATCCATTACCTATGTAAATTGGCATTTTTCACTGCAACAAGCTGCAGATCTTGGCTCTTTAATGATTTGCTAAAAAGAGGGGGCATTGCGCTCTAGTGAGAGACCTTCTATTCAATTTCAGTTGTAGCTGTCCTGCTGTATATCTCCATTGACCTTGCCAGTAGCTGATTTTGTACTGGTGTTTTTGGTTCTTTTAAATTGTTATTGTGAGTATATGTGGAGTTTTGGGGACTGTTGTGGTTTGTAAATTCATTCTTTGATTTAAAATGAGTGTATGAAAAAACAATCAATTACTAGTAGCGGTCACCAGGTATGGGTAGCCATTGTACATTAAAAATTCTGATATGCATCATATGCGTATCTTTTTGTATTCAATGGCTGCAAGTGTATGCCATTGATGTTTCCTCTGAGGCTGGAAGGAAACTTCTCCGGGATGACATAAAAGAAGAAGAAGCCACACCACCTGCAGCTCATTTACAAAAAGACCAGAATAGCTACCATTATTCAAAGTTTATGGCCATGGCTGCACCTGGAGTACTAATTTTAGGCTGTTTACTTATGTGGCCGTGCTGTCATCCTAAGAAGAAGGATATTCACTCTGCTGATTCGCATAGGGATTTAACTGCAAGTAAGTTTTAATTATTTGTGATGGCAAAATTACCACTAATCATTTCTTTCCGGGTTGTTTCGTTTCTAATGAATGCCCAATGACTTATTGAAAAGTTTCCATCTTTGCTTGTATGTCATATGCTGATTCAAATAATCTTCTATATTATGTTTATTGCTAACTGTAAAACAAATACAGAGCATTATAAGTTTGTCAGATGGCTGACTGTTGATGATTCTGTTGCAGTGGACTTATCATCCTCCTTTGAGGCAAATCCAGAAAAGGTTACTGCTAGTCCATGGCGACATGCACCACCTAGCCCCTCTCCATCGCGATTTCCACCATCAAGTCCAAATCCATCGCGACACCCTCCACCTAGTCCTCGATATGCAATGTCCCCAAGGCTCGATAGGTTTGGATCAGTTCATCTTAATTTTAGCCAGATTGCAAAGGCTACACATAGTTTCTCATCATCCTTTAAGATTGGTGAAGGTGGTTTTGGAACCGTATACAAGGCCCAGCTACCTAGTGGACAGTGGATTGCTGTAAAGAGAGCTAAAAAGGTATGGAATGGGAGAATTTTTTTCTTTTATTTTATTTTTATGAATCTATATCTTTCAACATTATGGATTGAGAAGCCTTTGTGTATCAACTTGTGCTAGAGGTTCAACCCTAAGAAAACTTGGGAATTTTACCTAGAGATTAATCATACTTTGACGTGAATATACCTCTGCAAAATTTAAACAGGATACTTAGATGACTTACTTTAAGTCAGAATTCAATTTACAGTACAATTCTGTTCAATCACATTGAATTCTGACGTGTAACTAAGAACATGTCTGATTTTTTGGTGACTTTAAATGACCTCTAAAGATCAAGATAGTTGAAATTGATGCATGTCAGCTTGATTATTTTGTTGACAATTATATTGAATAGGATTCTAAGGAACTAAGGATTTTATGTCAAAGTGAAGTGGGATAAAGTCTGATCTCCACAGTCTATAAGAAAATCTTAGAGTTTGTTATAGATGTGATCATATGATATTATCCTCAAGTTCTTTCTTGGCATGCCTTGCAAATTACAAGGAATATTTGTAACTGATGAATGTGATTACTCTCTTCATCTACTCATCACATTTGTGCCCCTCTCCCCCCCCCCCCCTCATGATGCAACTAAAAAAGACGGGGAAGCATGTTGTAGAAGATAATTATTGTGTATTGGTCTATTGGATTAAGGTTAAATTTAAAACAGTCCCTCTATAATCGTAAAGGGAAAGGATTGCGGATTGGTGGACATAAAACCCAAGGCAGGAGCCTCTATTAAGTCATTGGGATAAAGTTATTTGATGTGTTGAGTTCCATGTCTATTCCTTAAGCTTCGAATTTTCCATATCTAAATGAATGAAGGTCAAAATTGTACTGTTCAAATTTTAAATGCAACAGCTTGGAAACATGTGTGTTTCAGCCAACCCTTTGTTTGGTTATGTCTAATTTTCGACTGTGATGTAATCCTATAAGCCTAACAGCCTGTCTTTTTCCATTGGCCCTCCGCCAAATTATATTGCTGTTGCTATGAATGAGCGTAAAATTAGTGTATTAATCTGGCAACAAGCACTTTAACTTAGTCTTACCTCTTATCCTGGCAGTGAGTAATTTTTTTATTTTTGTATATATAAATTTTTTTTGTGTTATGAAGAGTGTAAAATTAGTATTTGGTCTTAGCAACTAGCACTTCTACGTGCTTTTGCCCCTTTATCCTGGCAGTAGAATACAACGTTTTTATGTTGCTGTTGTTATCTAAAGTGTAAACTTAGTTTGATGATTCGGCCATGTCTGTGAACGCTCCCACTTTTAGTTATGTCCGTCCCTTTATCCTGGCAGTGAGCAGGACATTAATTTAAGAACTTGCTTTTGCCTTGCCACAGGAACACTTTGACTCTGCTGAATTCAACAGTGAAGTCGAGATCCTATCAAAAATTGAGCACCGCAGCCTGGTCAGGCTGCTTGGATATGTAGACAAGGGAAATGAACGGCTTATAGTTACTGAGTACGTTTCAAATGGAAATCTCAGAGAACATCTGGATGGTAAGATTTATTCAGGAATATGATACTTCATTATAATTTCAGTACTTGGAAGTGTAAAACTCATGTTTAAGATGTTATATTTGACAGGTGTGCGGGATAGAATTCTGGATTTTAAGCAGCGTCTTGAGGTTGCAATAGACATTGCACATGGTTTAGCGTATCTTCATCTATATTCAGGTAAGCAAAACCATTGTATATATAAATCTTGTTTTCCTTTCAATTGCGCTAAAGTTAAATGCTTTAGAAGAACTATAGTGTATCATATAGGCACATAAAGATACAATACTAATTGGTAAAAACTGCTCTTTTTAAGTGTATGTCTATTTTTATTGATTATTGGATTGGATATATCTTCTCATTCTTCTGTCCATCTACAAATACAAAATAATCTAATTTAATAGATTTCAAATTTGGGAACTTGAATGTTACAAAACAAAAATCTGGTATCAACAAACGAGTGGATCTGTTCTTAACAATTCTTTCTGGATGGGGGGAGTTGGGGAAAATTATTCTAGGTTTTCAAAATGTGGTCTTGGAGATGCAATCAATCGGTGTGTCCTGCATCATATTGTTGCATGTTCACAGCATGTAATATTTTCATTATAGATTGCTTGTCATGTCCATCCATTGATTTCTCTTTTCCTTACAACATTCTCATTTCTAATCGTTGGTTGCTGATCATTATAGAGAAACAAATCATCCATAGAGACGTGAAGTCTTCCAACATTCTCTTGAACGAGAATTTAAGGGCCAAAGTTGCCGATTTTGGATTTGCAAGAGTTGGTCCTGCTGAGGGTGAGCAGACTCATATTTCAACCAAGGTCAAAGGGACTGTCGGATATCTTGATCCGGAGTATATGAAGACCTTTCAGCTCACCCCGAAAAGTGATGTTTACTCTTATGGGGTTTTGCTTATAGAAATTCTGACTGGACGTCATCCTGTGGAACCCAAAAAACCTATTGAAGAGAGGGTAACCATCAAATGGGTAAGCCTCTTATTTTCTTGCCAGATTCTTTTGGTTCTGTGATAGTTTGACTGAAAACCGGAACTTACCATTGCATATATTCGCTTTAATTCTCAACCCCATAAATCTTTGAAGTATCCCTTCATCCCGACCCCCTACCCCCCTTCCCCTCACCCCCCAAATTAACTCAGGATGTTATGTGGAAGATATGCAAATCTCGATATCCTAAAATGCCACCTTTAAAAAAAAACTTTCTGCAGGCTTTCTTTAACTACAATGAAGGTGATGTGCTGAGGCTGGTTGATCCACTAATGAATGAACGCGTAGATGTAGAAATACTCAAGAAGATCATTTGTTTAGCATTTCAATGTGCTGCACCCGGAAAAGCTGATCGGCCAGACATGAAATCGGTTGGGGAACAATTGTGGGCTATAAGGATGGAGTATCAGAGGTCAAGACGAGGGTAGATGATGAGGGATTTTCATGCTTCCCTACTTCGACGTATAATGGTGCATTTCCTCTTCTCGCACATTTGTTTCATGTTGAGAAGTAGCTTGATCTGTATGCTTCAACATTTATTGAAATACAAGTACCATTCATTGGGATGTTATATTACATTATACAAGGAATATGGAAATTTGCTGCTTCAATAGAGTCCTCTAGTGTAACTCTGATAATATGTAATATAACAATTACAAAGGGTGTACCTAAGCTACTCATTTTTTGGTATGCCTAATGGTCAAAATCTGTATGTAACCCGACTTCGACAAATATGGTTTTTTTTGTATACCTGATGGTCTTTTTTTCTTTTTTTGGGGCAAACCTAATGGTCATATGTAATTTGACACAACTTCTTTATGAATGATTGAATTTTTTATAAAACTACGTTGGTTTGTTTTTGTTGATTGATATTCTTTTGCACGATATTTAAGAAGTTGGGAGAGAGAATGTTGTCAAAATCTGTAACCCGACAAATACTAAGTAGCCAAAGCCAACACAAAAAATTACTTGTATTATTACTTGTGCTCCAATGTTTAGCTACTACTAGATTATTATTATTATTATTATTATTATTATTATTATTATTATTATTATTATTATTATTATTATTATTATTATTAATAATAAGCCACTACTAATTTGTTATTTAAATGAGCTTCACTTTTTAAATTTATTATTATGTATTATTTTATTTTTTTTAATGACTTCATTCATGAAAATGACATCTATAAACTATTACTAAAACAAAACGTTGTTGACGTCATTATCGTCCACACGTCACTCTCATAATAAAAAATTTCCCGCCTAAATGCAAGGATGATGTCATCTTTTTTTATCTCTTTTTATTTTTTTATTTTTATTTTTTTTGGAGCTATCATATTTGATAATTTTGAAATTTGAATATTAGAAGCTTCCACATTACAACTACAATTTATCAATTTATCCTTAAAAAATGAAATAATTTTAAGTAGCACACTAATAAATAGACTCCTACATTGAAATATGTATTACACGATGTTAAACAGGCATTATATCATAATTTTGTTGAAAATAAAATTTCAAAAGTACAGATATTTTTGTACAAAGTACATAATTCTTATTATATTTATCCATTTTTTAAAAATGTACAAATTATAAAAATAGATTTTATATAGACCGTGCATCACACAGATACTAACCTAGTTTAGTTAATACATTATTTAATCAGCACAAAGCAGTTGAGCGCGGAGTTGCTACTCATTACCATGATCAAGAATAATATTTCCAATTAATCAAATGCTCAGAGTGATACAATGGCCAGCCAAAGAATGCACAAGTAAAAAAACCTTTGCATTTCCCCTTTACAAAATATCAGAACTTCAGAAGGAACCAGAAAAATGCGACGAGTGATCGACAACTCTTAAACATCTTTCTCCATCCTTTCTAACAAATGCACATCCAGCCATCAAGGCTGCAGCGTTAAAATTCAATTCCAACCTTGGTTCCCTTCAACCACATGGAATTAGTCAAAAATCTACAGATACTGAGAAGTACAAGTTTTTGCTTGAGCTAGATATCTATAACTACAAATCTGAACAAAAAAGATGTCTTCCAATGTATGGGAGATGATGCCTAAAAGAATTTTGCAAAGGGAGTAAGCTGGAATCTTAACCGCTTCCTCTTATTCACCAGGGAAGGATGCAAACTCAATATGTGATCTGGCATAAAATCATGTCTTGTCAACATCCCCACAACAGGTGGTCTCTGCACCAAGTCGTAAAATTCAGTTAAAAGACATTAGAACATAAGTAGTAATAGACGGAAGCTATTCAATTCATCCCAATTTTTGAGTCCTTGCCAAAGGGATTAGTTGTCACATGGTCCCAGACTAAAACTTAGCGTGTTTTTGGATGGAAACTATGACAAACTAATAAACATGCAGTTGAACCTCAAGGTAAGGATCCTCCATAATCAAAATTCTTTGTTTAACCTCTTTTCGAAAGAAAATGGGCAAACATCTAACTACTGGATACCTAACACTTCAAAAAATGATAACATTGTCTTTCAGTGAATATATACTTTTTATACAATGTGGGTGTGAAGACAAGATTGTTATACTGTGAAGTCACTGAAGTGTTAGGTTATAACAGTTAAAAGTTTAGTCTAAGTCTATTCGAAAGGTACTCTACTAGTCTTTCTAGGCTAAGGATGAATCTATATTGGCAAGAGTGTGAATGTTGCTTTGACACAACAGAGACGCAACTTAAAGATGTTTGTACTTTGAGCATTTATGAAAGTCCAAAATACAAAATATAGCATATGGGCATCTATAAGCTCAAGCTGATGATCATTAGGTCAATATGCTCTTTTATTGGGAAATATTGATACTGGTCTATCATCTCTTGTTAACATATCTCTGTCTAACTTCAGCCATGAAATTGCTAGTTCAAATTACACTAACATAATGACAACTATTTAAGCCCGGAGGGAGTATCAAGCAACAGAAATTTTGATTGCACAGTGAGATATGGGAAATTTATATGGGACTTAAACAACTGCTACTAGAAACTTAAAGAGCATATATCCACCAATAATTTTTCGGGGAAATTTATATGGGACTTAAACAACTGCTACTAAGCTGAGAAATTTAAAGAGCATATATCCACCAATATTATTCCTAGGAAAACTGACTACTTTCCAATGCTTGCGAACCCTATCTAGTCCCCTCCTCCCCGGGGAGTGTTTTCTCACTGCGGCGGTTGTAACAAGTGAAAAGTTCCCCAAAAGAAGTGGACATATGCAATTCGACCAAGTACCTCATAAAAAGGACCAACTATGCAATTAAGATGTTTTCTTTTCAAATCTTCTGCAAGGATGATGCAATTTAAGTATGGAGGTTTTAGCTTAACTATTTATTGATGGTTTAAGAAAGCTTGTATTTTCTTTGTTGGGTGGGCTGGAAATGGTGGGGGAGGGGGGGGGAGCTACAATCGATAATACACTAAATATAATCTTTGGAAAAGTGGGGACAAAGAGGAGAACAAGCAACTTACATCAGCTGTCGTTGGTACCACTAGCATGTGCCTGAGACCAACTTCTCGGAAAAGTACAAGAGCCTTTGCTAGAGACATCGTCTCCACAACTGTATAGGGTGAAGTATTTGTAAATGGACGAAGATCAACAAACTTCTTCAATTCTTCGTCTGTAAATTCTACATCTTCAATGTCATCAATACTGCTGGACCCACCTTTTGCAAAGTCCACAGAAGAGAACTGCTCAAGTACATCAGCACCAGCTGACACTGGTGCAAGAACAAAAGCTTTCTTCTTCAGCAACACAATAAGATGAGCTCGAAGGATTAAGCCGAACAAAACAGGAGTTGCAGATTCTTCTGGTACATTGAGCACAGGAAACCCGTTGTGTCTTGATCTTTTGAGAGAATCAACTATATTTCCAACCTTTTCGATCCCATGAAAATACTCAAGTGGCTCAGTAATTACATCAGCTACATTCAGTTGCCTCATGTATGGCTCAGCATGGGTTTCTAGGTAAGGGAAGCCCTTCAGCTTCATCATGATGTCATATATATTGGCATTAAAACTATCGGCCACAGTCTTAGAGACAAGTAGGACTAACATTACAAGTGGCAGTAGCAACAGATTATTGGTTAGTTCAAGAAGTATAACACACAATGAGACCGTCATTCTCATAGACCCTCCAAGAAATGAAGCAGCACCCAGCACAGCAAAGAGACCATGGTTCAGACTCGACTTTGAACCAATCAACATCCCAACATAACGCCCAAACGATGCACCCGTCACAATAACAGGTATGAAGAGACCAGAAGGGAGCACAATAGCATAGCTAAAAATGCTTAAGAAAAAGCAAGTTACAAAATATATAAGCATGGATGTGCCATGAAATTCAGAATCGGTGCTGTGACGAAATAGGTTTCGAATGGCGTCATCATTTGTGTTGAAAATCAAACTGGCAAGATCATTGTAGTGTCCCGGTGCACACTGGAACTTCTTGTAGTTACCAGATCGGCCTATAGTAGGACAAGCCTCAGGCGAATCACCTGAACAAGGTTGGCAAGCTACAAACCATGGAAGTCCAAACAGAAGGCAGGAGGTGAATAAAGAGACTACACAAGCAAGAATTATTTGGCATACAATGCCTTTCCTGAAAATGTAGATCAAATGGAAGGGTCAACAAACCAACAACAACAACAAAGCCTTAGTTCCAAAATGATCAAATCAACCATAACCAAAAATCAATTATCTGTCTCCAATATTAGTTTAGTTGTTGGTAAGAAAAAACAGGACTTACCTGTTAATAAAATTGTAAAGTCGAAGAACCTTTTCTAGGATGAAATTGTACAAGGCTCCTAATAAGCCCCCTATGGCTCCAAGCAGCAGCACATATGGCACATCATAGAGGTAGTATACCACATTCTCTTTAGTGACGTTAAACATTATTAAACCGCCAGTACCAAAGAGTCCACACTTGCCACTGTAACACAAATCCATGAAACTTCGAAGCATGATAGCAACAACTGCTGTACAAAAGAATGCTCTCCACATGAGTGCACTTCTCCACCTGAAGATTGGAATAACAAGGAAAAGTTAGTCTGAAAAGTAACCCCAATTTTTGAAAATATGCTCATCCATGTGAAGTAGAAAAATGTATAGAGTTGAGGGCTTTATAATCATCAAGAAACTCTGAATCTAGCCTACATTGAAAAGCATATTATAATACTAGCTTGGATATTAAAGTACACTTTTATAATGGGATAAGTGAGATGGACTGGCATTAGAGAACGAAAAGATAAGAGGGTTTCAAGAAACTGAACAATAGAAGTATCCACAATACCAAGAAGCCATTTCTTCCAAAGCAAATAGCACACCACCAACAGGAGCACGGAAAGCAGCAGCAATTCCAGCAGCGGTACCACATGTTACAAGATCTCTTCTATCTCGATCATTTTTGAAATAATGAAGCCATTTCCATGTCAGACCATACTTCCTTGATCCACCCTGACCAAGCAACGAAGCAACACATGAAGCCATGTGCACCATGGGGCCTGCTTTTCCAATCATAAGGGAAGATGAAACAGCAGTGATGCTGCCAATAATCTGTAACCAAAAAATGTTTATGTGAGAAGAAAGTTCCATATAAAACCAGAAGTGATATTGCACATAAAATATGCACAAATCCAGGTAAGCTCTACATTCCTAGCTTTATCCTCAAAAAGAGCTAATATCTCTGTCCAAACTCATTAATAACAAGCCTACGGAAATAGAGTTTATGTAGAAAAAAATGTGAAATATAATCACTTCAATTTTTATTATTCTAGATACAATGTGAGCATGCTACAAGTTGAAACTTTTTCCTTTTACATTCTTTCCAAACTAACTAGGTAC